CTAATTTATAAGTTAGGCATTTTTTTTTCTCTATTTCATTATTTAAGGGCAACATTTAGTTTAGTACCAAACACGTTACAACCCCAAAAAGGACTAAAGAGACAAGAAAATCAAAGGCGAGGAGCAAAACCGTAATTTCACTTATTCCAGCATCCCACAGTTGTACCTTGTTGGAGATAATAATTAAGAAGGAACAACCAGATGTTGTACATTAATTTTATTCCCCTCTCTCTCTCTCTCTCTCTCTCTCATGACTATCATCCCCATAGGCTGATAGCTATTTCAGGGGTTTAATTGATTATTATTTAACCCAAGTACAAGTGCTACGATTTCATTATGAAACCATTCTGTCAGAATTTGTAACCGTTACATCAAAATGCTAAGATCTCGTTACGGAACTATTCCGTCGATGTTTGTAATCGTTAGATCAACAATTTTCAACCGTTACATAATAATCTAATGGTTATAAACCCCGATAAAATAGTTCAGTAACAAAACCTAAACATTTTGTCCCAACTATAAACCCTACACTAACACAAGCTAAACAGGGCAGTGTGTTTTTTTTCCCTAAAAAAAAATCCCCATTTGTTTCTCTCTCTGGACTCTCTCCTATCTCTCTCTCTCTCTCTCTCTCTCTCTAGTGTCTATATATATATATTCCCACCCCCATTGACCGCCGTACCATTGTCACAGATCACAACAGCCCCTTGTGGCCGTCTGCCTGCCTTCGGAATTAAAAAAGCAGGGACCTTTCTCTTTCACTGCCCCTTTTCCTCTATCTCCTCTGCAGATATATTTTGGGTCAGCTTTAATGGCTGCGTACATGTTTAAACATCTTCATTTGCGCGCATAAACGCCGAGTTCTTGGACTTGGGCTGTAGTTATCCTCTAGCCCCCCATTTTGTGCTTCCCCAAATCTCGATAATTCGCTTTGATCTGAAGGCTGATATTGTCTCGTCAACCAATCTTGAGCTGGGGTGCCGTTTGTCAGTGACATCTCTACGTGAGTAAGCTGAAAAGAACAACAAATTTGCTACATTTTTCCCCTATTTATTACTATTTTTTTTACAAAAATTTTTCTTCTTTTTTTATGTAATTTAAGCATTGGGAACAGTGACACTCTTTAATATGTTGGTGTTCTTGTATTATAGGTCACTGACTCAGTCTCATTAAAGATTAAACTTTTTTTTTTTCTTTTTTAGTTTTCTGGGCCATATTATGATTCTTTATCATGCACTGGACGTAATTTGATAGGCTTTTTTGTATGCTGGCTGCTGGGTCATCGTTGTTTTTGTATAATTAGTTGAGTTTCTGTGTTGGTGTTTTGTTTTTTCTTGCTTTCTTGTTGCATGTTGTGAAGGGCTATCCCGGTTCATTTCTGGGTTTCTTTTAGTTTTGGCCTGAGGTGAATTGAACTTAATGGCTATGCTACCTGGACTCGGATATGGGTGGCGTATCGGGTGTGGAGATATGAGCGTCTGACTCATCAATAGTTTAGAAATCTTGAACGTTTTAGGCTAAAATGCCACACCCGACACTCATACCCACACCAGTGTCGACACAACATGACACGGGTATTCTTCCTAAATAGAAGAGTCCGGGTAACATAGCTTAATGGTTTTGTATTTAATCCTGTTGGTGAAAAGGTAGTTAATTTTGTAACACAGAGTTGGTGCCTGTTTTTTACTTTTAGTGTTCAGGATGAGATAATTCTTTTGGGTTTATAAAGCTGCGAGCTTGGTTGATTTTGCGTTATATTTTTCATTATTTTATTATGTTCTGGTTAAGTAATTATGCATTTTCTAGTTGACTTTTGCTGTTTTGCTCACGACCTTTTTGCTTCTTGTTTGCATCCTTTAGTTGGTGGTCTTACTAGGATGACTTGAATGTAATCATGCAACTTATAACATTTTTGACTTTTGGCTTGCCACGAGTTAGTATTCGGATATAAGGTCAAATGGTGATGTTGGAATGAGCCATTTTACATTTGAATCGCTTATGCAATCTGCAAATACTACCAAGTATTGACCTTTTCAGAGTGAGGAATAATTGTTCTGTCTTAGTTTAAGGGCATGTTACGATCACTTCTTATTAGATTGTATTAAGTTTTGGTACACTGTTCGCTATATTGTTCGTCTGTGAAGAAAGCGAGTGATACTGTTATAATATGAGGTTATAATTCTCTGTCTTTTATGCTTGTTGCTTGCAGTAACAGAATTTGAATAACTGATATCACTGGGCTATGGATCTCAATGGTCACAGACGAGGTAGACTAAAGGATCTTGTTGTGTATCAAAATGGTGAGTTGAGCACGTCGAGTGAAATTGACCTTGATCCATGGACTGCCTGGGCTTACAAACCTCACACTGTGACATTTTTACTTATTGGAGCATGTTTTCTTGTGTAAGTTGGTAAACCTTTCGGCGCACTGCATTTCCTTTATGAAAAGTTCTGATTTGAAATATCAGTTGATTCCTATTCATTTTCCTCTTATTTTATCTAAAATGACATTGACATGGAATATAAGTTCATCCCGTCATTTTTCACTCAATATATAATTTTTTTTATTTCAGTATTAGATAAGTATCAGTATGATGTACGGTTATGGGAGAACTATTTTGCTCATATCTTAATATTACCTGTTTGGAAATTCTTCTTAGATGGTCAAGTGGAGCGCTTAATCCTGAGCGTAGTTCAGAAACTGATCTTGTTACTGCTGTGAAAAGGTTTGTGCAAAGTCATCTGCTATTTGGTATCAAAATTTCGTTCTGCCTTTTCTTTCTTTCTTTCTCTTAATTGTCCAGAGACTTGCACAATAGAAAGCTTGAATAAAATGTTGCACTGATGCTTTTGGCAGGGGTTTATGGGCAATGATTGCTGTGTTCCTTGCGTATTGCCTGTTACAATCTCCTTCTACGTAAGTGTGGCTCGTTTTTGGTTTTAAAATGACCTTTCCATTGTCTTGAGAAAGCATTTTACTTATTTGGTTGAAAAAATTGTCTATGTGGACTCTAAGAAGATAAATTTATTTTTTTTCTGGCTTACTTGTTGAGCTTCTGAACAGCTGATATACCTTTTGCACTTTACATCTCCTATTTTAACCTTTTCGTAATTTATTGGCTGTTGAAATTGAGTAGTCCCTGAAATAGTTATAATGGCTTAATCATAAATTTTGGAGTTCTTCAGTGCGCAACTTTAGATGACAACAATAGTATCGTTTTATGGATTACATTTCAATCAGCTAAGGCTTTATATTTGAATTGATCTTATAATTATGTTTTCTTTTAGTGAAAAGTTGAAACTCAAAACCATGTTAGAATGGTGCCCTGCAGTAATTTAATTTGAGGGAACTAGCACCTTCGGAGGGTTAGTTTTAGCGAAAAAAGCTAGTGGCTTTCAACAGCATTATATGTTATCGCTGTTTATTTTAACGTTAGGGATATATAATGATCTGTGCAATAATTAAATCAGGTCCAATGCACCAATACCTGAAAAAAAGAAAAAAAAAATCCCATTTTTTGGGCTGCGTTCTTTTGAAGTGTCATTTATCTAATATCGATTGATCCTGCATTTATTTTCAGAGTGCTTATCCGTCCGCATCCTGCCATTTGGCGCCTTGTTCATGGAATGGCTGTCATATATCTTGTTGCACTTACATTTCTCCTTTTCCAGGTGAGTTATTTATCGTATTTCAGCTTGCAATTTATTGCTTATCTAGACGAAAGTTTCGTTTTCTGCACTCAATTATTGACATGGTATCACATTTTATTTTTTTTCTCAAATTATTTATAATGCTTAAAACGTCTATAATGAGATAACTTTCTTGAATTTGTGGGCTTATTGAGTATTTTTCTGGTGCATTTTCTAAATTTTTCCTTTCCAGAAGCGTGACGATGCGCGGGAGTTCATGAGATTCCTTCATCCTGATCTTGGTGTTGGTATGCCATTTATTCTTCTTCTTCCTAAAAAAAATGTAAAAATTCAGTATCTTTTTTAAAGACGATGTATTTGTATGTTCATAATAATCCTTTTTTTATTGAGATGCATGATTTTTTAACTTACCTTAATGGTCATTGTCGCTCTATCTGATGCAGAGCTTCCTGAGAGATCTTATGGAGCTGATTGTCGAATATATGTGCCCGAAAATCTCACGAGCAGGTTTAAGAATGTTTATGTATGTTATCTTTGTTTGCCTTGCTATCTTTATCTTACATTTGTTCTTTATGGTCGACGGTTAATTGATAAACATGCCTTTCCAGCTAAAGTCAGATTTGTTTGTGCTTAGGATATACTGTTTGATGAATTTGTTCTGGCACACATTCTTGGATGGTGGGGAAAGGCTATAATGATTCGTAATCAGCCATTGTTGTGGGTGCTTTCGATTGGCTTTGAGTTAATGGAGGTGCGCGTACACCCATACATGCTAACATTGCTCTCTGTTTTCTTCATTTTCAGTGAATGCTAAGGATATATTTCTTTCTTTTCCCATTGATTTTTTTATTGGTGGTTTTTTCAGCTTACCTTCCGCCACATGTTGCCGAATTTCAATGAATGCTGGTGGGATAGCATCATTCTCGATATATTGATCTGCAATTGGTTTGGTATGATTTTTTTAGCTCGTCTGTTTTTGGTTATGATTGTCCATGCTTATTCATTTAGTCCTCTGTTGTGATACTGTAACTGTGAATTTTATTTGCTATACTATCGTAAAATCTTTACTAGGCTTCTGATTTGGTATACAGTGAAAATTTAAATGAGGTTTTCTTTTTTCTTTTTACAAATCTTAAGTTGTCATGATTTCATGAACATGTTAAGCTATTAGAAGAAAATGGATAATTACTGCCTGTCTGTGCCTTCATCATGAAAGTATTCAATATATATTTTGCAATACAAACACGATCTTTATCAGACCCTTCTGTGCTCCCTTAGCCTTTTCTT